TTTAAAAAGCTAATGTCTATAAATTTCGAATTGAACAACATTGCCGAATTTTTAAGATTCTTTGAGAACAGAGCTCAAAGTCGATAGAAATTTTGTATAGAGTCGAGTTGACTCGGAGTCGACAATGCCATACAAAATCGATGAAAATCTCTAGTCGACTTCAAGCTCTATTTAAGAATATAAAACCTTTAACAAATTCATTTTTGGATCAATACTATCATCAAGATTACCTTTAGAATAATTCATTCATGTACATCGATCATGTTTGTTCCTCAAAAACACAACAAGTCCCAAAACATTTTCGTAAGAACTTAGTTCCTCATTCCAAAAATACCAAAACATTGTAAAAACATCAGAACAAGAAGCATCAAAAAAATCCTTTTAATTTATTTTTGTGTCCAGAAGACATAAAGCAAGAGAAATATTCCATCATAAATTAGATTTTGATGCCATCAAGTCAATGGCAAGAGCATTAAGAGAGAATCAAATTAAATATTTTTTCTTCAAATATGAACAATGATGAAAGCTCAAACCCCTGATGATTCATCACCAATACCCCCCATTACAAATGTCCATATTCATCATGCATAAGAAATAAATTTTTTATGACAATAGATGGGAATGAATTCATTAAGTCTTGAATTTATTCAATCATGACCTGCGTCATCGACATCTTGACATTTATGATGATATTAATGGGCCAGAAAGTACGATGAATGCAGGAAGTCCATTTGGGAATGGGAATAAAGAAATCAATATGAGGTGCTGTAATTTATGAGACATTTTCATTTTCAAGCATCTTCCTGCTTTTTCCGTTCCTGAAAAATATGAAATATTGTATTGAATGAAAGATTGACAAAGCATTGACTCAAAAATGATGGATTGAATATCATCAAAATGAATTTTTTTTCAGTTGTTTTTATTTATCTGTCGATATTGAATGAGGTGTCGATTATGAATATTTTTTTAAGTGTGTCCTGGAGGGGAGTTTTCTGGATTGTGAACGACTGTAAAATTTTAAAAGTAACCAAATTAAAGCTCTCAACTGCATCATCGTCTTGTCATGCTCGAAAATTCTCTAAAATCAGTAAAATTCATGGTCACATTCAAGGATTCAACCTCGACAAAATATCGTTACCATGTCATTACCTTCCCACTGGCGAAAATTGAATCTTCTAAAAAAAATACCAAAAACGGAAGTAAAATATGGATCAGCAAAAAAAATTCCAATTTCAATTCACGTTCATTCATGAATGACTCGAAAAAAAATTCTATTCAAATAACTGTCTGAATGGATTATCATTCCTCATTCTTCATGAATCTATTTATTCATTTCTGGTTGATGAATCTACCATCAACTACTCCTGCCATTATTGCATTGCAAATGATGAAAATATTCTCGTATTTTTTTTTTGTGTTTCTATTTTCACTTCCAACATGTTTGAAACTTCCATCATCATATTGTATTGACATTGGCATCGTTGCAGTGCAATTAAACAACGGTGGTAACAGGAAAATAAGAAAAACACTTTCTATGCTTTGCTACAATCTCAACTGAGATACATCAATTAATTTTACATTAAATTGCTTTTCTACCTTTCCAATCTGAATGTTTGGCATGCTTGACACTTTTTTCTGTCCTTTCGATTTCATTTGATATGAGCATTTGATATTGATGTGAAAGTCATTTTTAATGAAATAGAAATGAAGGTTTAGAAATGTGTTGGGGTTCCATAAACTTACATTGATTGACATATAATGTTCCAAAATTAAGTTCCTAATTCTAAATCTTTAAACAATATTAAGTTAGTATCTTGACTGTACATTAGCCAAAATGGTGTATGTTGAGTAAACTGTGTTTAAAATCTAAAATAAACTTATTTATTAAATTATCCCAATAGAAACCGTTCACTTATGATATCCAATGGGAGGGGGGTCAGCAAGAAAAGAACAATAGCAATTCCTAGAAATCCATTGTTCTTTTTTGAAAAATGACCGTTAATTTCGCACGTCATAAGTGAACGGCCACAAATATAAGCTATAAATAAATCATTCAGATATGATGTAACATTAAAAATCAGTGACTAAAGGAGACCAAAATATAAAACCAGCCATTTCCACCTGAATGTTACATTACATCTAAATGATTTATCCTTAACAAAAATACTTACTTTTGTGAAGGTATTGAAATTAAACTCGAAAACATTCAACACTCGAAACTTTGCTGGCACCGTCAAGTTCTCATTCAGAATCATAAGTAGCTTTCGATTTTCCTTTGTATCCTCAATCCAGTTCCTACTAAATGTTTTTCTAGACAGATTGTAAGTTCCTGATTCAATCAACTCACAAATACAGCAAGGTTTAAATAATTGCGTTAAAACTACTATTGCTAAAAGCACCATAAAAGAGGAGGCTGCAAATGCTGAATTCTAAATGGCAATAAATATTTTTGTTGAAATTTGTGCTTAAAACTTGTTAAAGCTTTCCATTAAATATTTACCTTCCACATTCCAAAAGACAAAAAGGTTGTGCTGCAAAGAACATAAGCACCGATAAGTCCTTGGAATGCCAAAGGCACGCCAAATACGTCATTGTAGCCAGCAACTAATCTGTAAAATAAATCAAATTAAACATTAATAATGATCCTTGACAAGCATTAAAAGAATGCAAAGAATTTTGAAAATTCTATTATTCACCTTTTCAAATTGCGATGTATCTCCACACACTTTCTTATATTCGATTCTTGAAATTGACTTTCACAAAATTTGAAATATCCGTGTATCATCACCAAGAGTAAAAAGAAGAACTCTTGAAAGCTTGTTATCAAAAATCCCGCATAAAAGAAGAATAAAGTTTGATAAGCTACTAGACAATAAAATGTTTCAGGTCTGTTCTGAAAGATTTCGGGAACAAGAAACGCCATTTGCAATTTTTCAACTTCTAATGTCACTATGCATGAAACTAGAACACCAATTACTCCGAAGATGTAAGATGTATAACACAAAACTTTTGATATCCGTAACGACCTGTCGATAAAAGGCTTGGCTTCAGGATACTGATGGAAAGTCATATCCATATCTTTAAGATAGTTTTTTATTAAACTCTGACGACCAATAAAGAACAGTGTAAAGCACAAAACAATTAAAATTGCAGGAATAAAAGTCACTATTTCGATTGCCTCTTCAGCTGTTTTGGCATTTAATCCTGAAAGAAAATTTAATAGACCTGGTAACACTAAGCAGATGATGTAAGCAACAAAAGAATTTTTCTTGTATGCTGTTGAATTTTGTCCCCAAAGACCAAAAATGTTAAAAATCTTAAAAATTGTCTCGAATGGCTCCTTTGAATCCATGATATTTATGTCCTACTTGAACGACAGTAAACGAGAAACTGAAAACCACGGACAGAGCAAATGTTTATTGATAACTAAACTAATATAGGATGCCAAGGTAATTTTAAAAGGAAATCCTGGCTAGATAACTTACAAAGACATAAAAAATCTTGAAATACTGAGGCCAGTTTCAAGGGCTACCCTGGGCACCTTAGGTAGGTCACCCTAGGATACCCACCACCTAGGTTCTCCTATGGCAGTGTGAGGTAGGATGATGTAGGTTACCCTAGGGTACTCAAGAGAGTATCAGTCCTGGGTAGGGTAGAGGAGTGCTTCGAGTGCCCCTAGAAACCGTCCCTTGAGGCTGTCCGTAAACATTTTCAAACTTGGTCACTCATTTAAACTGCATTAAATTAACTTACTTACTTCCTTTGCAACCCGCATTAAATTAAAATGATGTATTTTAAACACTCATGCGTCGTAAGTGTGTGTAGGTTTTAAATTTTAAAGAGATTCTTAATATTAAATTAAGGTCTATCGTTATTGAAAATATCTTGCTGCAATAATTTGCATTATTCATTTTTATTGAACCTTAAAATTGAAGCTGATAAGGTTTAAATAAATGAAACTTTTAGTAATTTAAATATTAATAATTAATAACTGTTATTCTTCCTTAACTTCAAGCTTTAGCTCAACCATACAATTATTAAGAATAGATACATCATTCATATTAAAAGTATCATGCACCATATTCATACCGCACGTGTACATCAAACTCACATGAAACCAATAAAACTAAATCATTTTGTGGTGTATCACGTTTCCTGTTTCAAGCACTTCTATGTACAAACAGCATTAATTCACATTTTGTTTGCTATTAAATTTCAATTAACGTACAGAAAAGTAATTTCTTAGATTGCACTGCACATTTCGCAAATAAAAAGTTTATGTTGTTTTAATGCTCTATGACGCCCATACTTTGCAAGTTTTTTTTTCCCTTCCCATTCTCGCAGACATGTCGCCATTGTGGCACACTTCCAATTTCTAGGAAGAGAAAAAAAGCATACAATATTTTTGATTAGAAAAAAATATGGAAAAATGGATAGGGATTTATGCCTGCACACCTGACATTATTCATTATGTGATCGTGAAAATTGGTGAATATTTTATGGTGAATTGGATGTGCTTGCATGTTCTATAAAAATGTAGAATAATGGAAAATTTTAAAAGCATTAAGACTATGATTTCTTTTTAGGAGCTCAATTCATCGAAATCAGGTATGGCTGGTTTATAGACTTCTTTTGTTTGATATAGGCTATTTCCGAAAGGGTGTCAATTGTCCATTGTCTCTCCTTGTGGTTCTGGATTAGCTAGAGAAGAATTCTTCAGAATTAAGTTGCCTGTTTGAACAAAAGCGTTTAACAAAATTTAATAAATCAAACAACAAATCATTTAGGAAGTAATAAAATAATTGCACGTGCAATTGGAACTTGCAAAATATTTTTATCAATCAGTACTTTGTTCATTTATTTGCATTCGACTGCATTGACAATTATTTGTTTTGAAGCTATTGTGGAAATTAATTAACCAGGAAATCATACAAACTGCAGCACTCATGTTGATTTCGTGATCAATTATCTTAAAATGTTCAGTATAAAAGAACCAAATTTTCTCATCAGAAATCAGTTCAGTTCATTCCTTGAATTTGAAAACAATTAAAAAAAATCAATCAAACAAACAAAAAATGTATTTTTTGAAATCAATCGTCTTAAACCTACTTCTAGTAGCTCTGACTTGCTCGGGTCAGGTGTCGTCCAGTATGGAATCATCCATTACTTCTGAATCTCTAACTTCTTCTGCTATTGAAGAAATTTCAAGTTCTGGTTCAGGAACAAATGAAGGATCAATCTCAACTGTCGAAGCCTCTCAACCATTAAGTCCACCATCTTTGGAAACTCTGAACGAATCGCAAACTGTTGGAGAGACTAGTTCTAATGTTATCGATGAGACATCAAGTTCTAATGTGGTCGATGAGACATCAAGTCCTAATGTAGTCGATGAGACATCAAGTCTTATTTCACAAACTTCTGCAGAATCAATCTTAGCTCCTTCATCTGAAGTCTCTTTATCATCAAGTCAACAATCGTCTGAAGCGCAAACTTCTCCTGATTCTCAGTCCATTGGATCAGAATCACCATCTGAGATTTCAGTTTCATCTGAATCTCCATCTATAAGCTCTACTGAATTAGAATCTCCAACTGGATCACAAAGCTCTTCGGAATCAGCAGTTATAGCTTCATCTGAACCAGGATCTCAAAATATTCCTTCGACTGAAGCTTCATCAGAATTAATTCAAAAAGAATCAAGTGCCGAATATGAATCAAGAGAATCAATTGAATCTCTTATTAGTTCCGAATCCTCATCAGATGCAAGTTCGATTGAATTATCTTCACCAACGGAACCTTCTGAAGAAGTTTCATCAGTTGAATCATCAGAAAGTTCGGTAGATTGTTTCATTCCTGACTGCAGATGGTGTGATCATTTGGAATTAGAAACCTGTGAATGCTTCAGAGTTGCTGTTGATTGTTTTATTGGCTCAGTATTAAGTGAAGATGGCTGTACATGTTTACCAATTCCTGGCTGGAATAGTTCAGCTTCTGAAGAGTCAACAACGGAACCAGAAGTCAGTGAAACTGAATTAAGCTCATCTCCTTGCTTCCCAGTTGAATGTCCAAGAAAAATGTTCTGGAATCAAGCCACTTGCTCATGTGAATGTTTAAAGAAGAAAATGTGTAGGAATAATTTAGAATTTAATCCTGCAACTTGCGAATGTGAACGTATGACAACAACCACACCACCTGTCAACACCACAACGCCTTTTGTGTGCTCATTACCTTCATGCAGATGGTGTGACTTATTGGACGAAGAAAATTGTGTATGTCATAAAACTTACCTTGACTGTGCACCTGGTTTTGAACTTAGTTCTGATAGATGTGAATGTGTCAAGCCCGAATCTTCTGAATCATCTCAAATTGTACCTAGTGAATCATCATCAACATGTGCTATCCCTCCATGCAGACCCTGTGATATTCTGGATGTAGATAACTGTGTATGCCACAGACAAATCTTAGAATGCTCGGAAGGCTTTGAGTTGACAGACGAACGTTGTGGATGTATAAAATCTGTATCTACATCTGAAAAATGTCCAGGATTGGAATGTCCAAGAGGAACTTTCATTGATGAAAAGCGATGTGAATGCATTAATGAAGAGTGCAAATCGGCTGAACCTTGCCGTAAAAATTTAATTATGGATAAAAAGAGTTGCGAATGTTTCTGCAATCTTAGTCCATGGCAATGCAAATATCCACAAGTTTTTGACCGTAAAAACTGCAAATGTAGTAACAAAAATCATCATGAAGAAGAAGACGAAGATGAAGATCCAGAAAACTGTGATTATGAATGTGTCCAGAAGGAAAGATGCCATAAGAATTTCATCTTTGACTATAACAAATGCGAATGTGTTTGTGATTCAAGAAAATCCACAAAGAAGTGTCCAGAAGGAACTAAATTTGACAAATCTGCTTGCGAATGTGTTGAATGTTTTGACTTTGACGATCCACAATGTTCATGCGATTGTGATGAAATTTTGGACTGTCCTGGAGATCAAATCTTCAATTATATTGGCTGCAAATGTGAATGTCCAAAGATTTACTGCGAAAAAGGATTTGAGATGGATAAGAGAAGCTGCGAATGTGTTTGGAAAGGATATGGTAATCAGTATAAGTATGGTGGGCGTTCAAAACATTCTTTAAAGGGTGGATATTAAATGAAATGTCATGAAAAAGTATTGAATCTGTAATAAAAATTAAACCTTCCATCCTGAAGTTAAATACTTTTTATTGTTCACGGCACAAAAGAAGGAAGCAAATATTTTTAATATTTTTCATTAAATGCATTAATATAATTATTTTAATAGCTATAATTTGAATACTCAATCGTAATCAGAAGTTGAATACCGATCTATAGTAAGTCACGCTCAAAACAAAAAGTGCAAAACAATGGATAAAAAGTGACACTTAATTATATTTTCATGATCATTAAATTATTAACTATTAAGTCAGGGCTTCTCAGACTGTGTGCTATGGTACTATTGTCAATGAATCTCCTTACTTCTAGAACAAACAAAGAAGATAAAGGATTACACATTCTAAAATGCAACATCGGCAAAAAAATTAAACAAAGTTCGGAAACCTAAACTTGCTAAATATAAGTATAGTCGTGACTAGTAGAACGATATTTTATTGAATTCATAAATTGAAAACTTTCCTCAAAGTCATTAAATAATTTTCATATATAAACAACGGACTGTCCATTTAGAGCTTAGTATTAAAAAAACTTAAAACAATAAAGAACTTAAAATGCCACGCTGGCATTTAGTATTATTCAGTATATTCCTGATCATTGCGATTAGCTTAGCTTCAAAGCCTTCAGAAACTGATAGCTCTTTTCAATCAAGCAGTTCTTCAAACTCAAAAAGCTCATCTGACTCGAATTCTCAAAATTCAACCTGCTATCTACCAAACTGCAGAAAATGTGACATCCTAGATCTTGAGAGCTGCACCTGCACTCCAGTATTCGTAAAATGTGCTAAAGGATTTACGTTTGATGAAGAAAGTTGCAATTGCATTGAATCAGGTCCAGATTCATCTTTATGTCCAGATTTGAAATGTCCAGAAGGTCAACACATCAATGAAGCTCGTTGTGAATGTACAGACAAAATTTGTCAAACTTTTGTTCCATGTCCGTCAAATACGATACTGGACTTGGAGACATGCGAATGTATTTGCAATCTTGATCCAAACTTATGTCCGGATTACTATATCTTTGACGAGTTTAATTGTTTATGTCGACATCCAGTTTGTGACCCACCTGGCCCTTGTCCTGGAAGTTCTGTTTGGGATACAGAGCTTTGTCAATGTAAATGTACCCAGAAAGATTGTGAAAAAGACTTCATTTTTGATGTAGCTGGATGCGACTGTGTATTAATAAATTCAACAGAGTCTTCAGCAACTGAACATGATACAAAATCAGAATTGACATCATCAGAATCACACTACAATTGTGATCCACCAAGTCTATGTCCAGGCTTATCATCATGGAATAAACATGATTGTGCATGCGTTTGTGCTGTTAAAGTCAAATGTTTTGCTGATCATATATTCAATAATGAAACGTGTCAATGTGAAAACCCAAATGGAACTTCTTCATCCTCAGTATTCGAATCATCTACTGAAATTTCAATTGAATCACCAAATGATCCTTCATCCTCATGTAACATACCCGATTGTAAGCCTTGTGACTTCTTTGATGCAGAAGAATGTTATTGCTACAAAATTGCTATAGACTGCATTCCTGGATATTGGTTGGATGACGAAGGATGCAGTTGTGTGCCAATGCCTGGTTATAATGAATGTTTTGAAATAATTCCGTGTTTAGAAACACAAACTTGGAATTCAGAAGCTTGCAAATGTCAGTGCAAAGAAAATTTTGAATGTAAGCAGGGATATGTATTCAATGCTGATGCATGTTTATGTATTCCTGTTTACGAATCAGAAACGTATCCATCACAATCGTGTCTTATTGAAAGATGTGGATCCTGTGAGTATTTGGATAAAAACATCTGTCAATGCATCAAGTATGAAGTGAGTTGTGAATATGGCTTTGGACTTAATTCAGAAACATGTGCATGTGAAGCTATACCCGGATTTAGTCTATCATCTTCTTCTGAGTCACAATCGTGTCCTCTGAATAGTTGTGGATCCTGTGAGTATTTGGATAAAAACATCTGTCAATGTATCAAGTTTGAAGTGAGTTGTGAATATGGCTTTGGACTCAATTCAGAGACATGTGCATGTGAACCGATACCCGAATTAAGTCTATCATCTTCTTCTGAGTCACAATCGTGTCCTCTGAATAGTTGTGGATCCTGTGAGTATTTGGATAAAAACATCTGTCAATGTATCAAGTTTGAAGTGAGTTGTGAATATGGCTTTGGACTTAATTCAGAAACATGTGCATGTGAAGCTATACCCGGATTTAGTCTATCATCTTCTTCTGAGTCACAATCGTGTCCTCTGAATAGTTGTGGATCCTGTGAGTATTTGGATAAAAACATCTGTCAATGCATCAAGTTTGAAGTGAGTTGTGAATATGGTTATCGACCTAATGAAGAAGGGTGTTATTGTGAACCGATACCTGGATTCAGTTCTCCATCAGAATATGATTCATCAATGCAGTCTTCTTTGTCGGAATCATCTTCGTGTTCTATCCCTGACTGTAGATGGTGTGACCATTTAGACTTAGACAACTGTGTTTGCAATAGAAGAATGTTTGAATGTCCTTATAATTATCATATCAGCGACGATGGATGTTCATGCGTATCAAACGAAAGTGTAAGTTTCCCAACATCTCCTTCTTCTTCTTATTCTTGTGAGCAATATACTTCATGTCCAGAAAAAACTACTTGGAATCGAGAAACGTGTGAATGTCAATGCATTGAGAATATTCTTTGTATTCAAAATTATACTTTTAATCCAACGACATGTGAATGTGAACCGACTTTTGAAGGATCCACAAAACCTTCATTTAATTCTGCATCTTTAATATCATCATGCTCCTCCAATCCTGATTGCAGATGGTGTGATTATATGGATGTCTCGACCTGTGAATGCTATAAAATTGCCATTGACTGCACAATCGGATATGAATTGAGTTCAGATGAATGTTCTTGCATCCCGATTTCTGGATTTAGTTATCCATCATTTGAGGAACCATCTAGTGAAAGTTCTGGTCCTATACCTACATTCCCATGCTTACCTACTTCACCTTGTCCAGACAAACATTTCTGGAATCAAAAAACTTGCTCGTGTGAATGCCGTGAGCAAATAGAATGCAGCTCTAATTATGAGTTGAGTTTAAGAACGTGTAAATGTGAACCGATCATCGAAACAACCCAATCTTCAGAATCGTCATCAGTTTCTGATAGTTCATGTTTTATTCCAGACTGTAGATGGTGTGACTTCTTAGATTATGACAATTGCGAATGCCACAGAATTGAGTTCGAATGCTTGGAAGGCTTTCAAAAAAGTAAAGATGGTTGTAGCTGCTTTTCTATTTCGAATGGGAATTTAACACTTCCACCATCAGTGCAGAGTTCATCACCTTGTTTCATTGAGTCGTGTCGATGGTGCGATATAATAAACATTGATAACTGCACATGTCAGAGAGCTTTTATAGATTGTGCATCGGGTTTTGAACTAAGTTCTGATGGATGCAGTTGCATCAAATCCTCTGAAAATTCAAGCAGTTCTTCAGCTGCTGTATCAAATAATTCATCCAGTTCCTCATCATTTTCAAATAGTTCATCATCATGCTCTTTACCATTTTGCAGATCGTGTGATGTTTTAGATACTGAAAATTGTGTCTGTCATACAATAGTCATTGATTGTGCTGAAGGATTTAAATTAAGCGACGATGGATGCAGTTGCGAATGGGTTGGACTTTCATCTTCCTCAGAATCAGTCAGTTCAACATCTGATGCATGTGGATCAAGTCCTCCTCCATATTGTAGATGGTGTGATCATTATGATGCTGAAAGTTGTATATGTCATATGAGATATGTGGACTGTGGTTGGGGTTATGATCTTAGCCCAGATGGATGTACTTGTATTGAATCAAATAATACAAGTTCTTCTGATTCCATCAGTTCTTCAAGTTCTAGTGATGTTACTTCAGAAACTAGATCAATGAATTCACCAAGTCCAATTCCTTGCTCACTTCCATCTTGTAGGTCGTGTGATATCCTTGATACTGAAAACTGTATGTGTCACAAAAGAGTTGTTGATTGCTTCCAAGGATATGAACTTAGTGAAGATGGTTGTGAATGTGTAAAGTCAACTTCGACATCCGAAAATTGTCCTGGCATTTATTGCAACAAAGGAACTTATATTGATGCAAATACCTGTCAGTGCATGAATGATGCATGCAAAGTTAAAGATCCATGCCCAGATAATTTATCTATGGATGCACAGACATGTGAATGCTATTGTCATCTCAACCCTACAGACTGTTCCTTTCCGTACACATTTGATTATGCAAACTGCAAATGTCGTCATCCTCCATGTGATCCACCTGGTCCATGTCCAAATAAACTTTCATGGGATCCAGAGAACTGCAAATGTCGATGCATTCAAAACAAAGCATGTGATGCAAATTTTATTTTTGACTCTGATTCTTGTGACTGCGTTTGCGATCCAAAAATGATGAATACAACTTGTCCATCAGGATCTGTCTATGACTCTTTGCTTTGTGACTGTATTGAAGAAATTGATTGCTATGATATGAATGATCCAGCTTGTGCTTGTGAGTGTGAGGAAGTTTTAGATTGTCCACCAGGCAAAGAATTTGATTTGGATTACTGTGAATGCTTATGTCCATATTATGAAGAAGATCCATGTGAAGATGGCTTTATGACTAGCGATGATACATGCGAATGTATTAAAAATCCATATCATGAAAAATAATTGTTCATTTTTAAAAGTTTTCCAATTTTTTGACTAATAAATATCCGTAAATTGTACACTAGTACCAAGGACATTGCCAAAAAAAATCTTGTGATTTTTCATTTGTTTTAGTGGTTTAGGATTTTGCACTCAAAAACCGTAGCAAAAGAGGCTTGTATCTTCAATAGTACTAAGTTTTGTCACGGTGATGCTTAGTTTTGCCTCAAAGATGCAAACTTTTGTTTCAAAGATGCAAAATATTATGTCGAAGATGCAAACTTTTGTCTCTAAGATGCAGAGTTTTGCCTCAAAAGATGCAGAGTTTTGCTTCAAAGATGCAAACATTTGCTTCTTAGAGACTTCTCCGACTAGTTCATTCAACTTTATCTATTTTTATTAGATTGAATATAAAGCGATTCCACAATAGTTCCGATATTAAAAACACCTGACGCCATAAAAACAGTCTCCATTTAATTCCCTTCTCATTCATTTCTTATTGTCCCAATTTTACTTGTTTTTCAGAACTGTTTGTGCTTTTTTTAATGGTAAAAATAGCAGAAACTGTCATTCACTGCATTTAATTGCATTCGCAAAAAAAAATATTTGTGGGATGAACTAGAAAACGTGGATAGACATGACAACAATGGAGCCGTAAATCGTGACTCGAGCGGCAAAAGATTGATTTTTATTGGCTTAATGGATTTTTTTTATGTAGGTTTGAATAATAAAGTTTGGATTGTTGTGGTGTTTTCTATGGTAATTTGAAAAATATTACCCGTCTGGAGCTTTCGTGCATAAAATCAACACATGTATTAAATTCCATAAAATAATGTCAGCCGCAGCTTAAAAATTATCGGTTTATTACCGACTGTCAATTCTAAAATACACAAATACCATAAATAATAGGTCATGAAAATTTTAAAGCTTAAATTGCAATTTAAAAAAACGTGAGAAAATCTTTAAAAAAATATTTTTATGGATCTAGAACATCCACATCCACTTTTGCATCATCATCAAAATTTAATTACATTTAATGAGTGTTCTCATCATGATGATGTTTTCCACATATACATTTATGCTTTCCATATCCATTATTATCATCAACATACTTTTTTTTGCATTACTTCCTTTCCGTACAGTATAAATTTATGCATATCAACCAACAAAACTCATTCATTCATTATGTGGATATGCATGTAATTTTTATATGAGAAAGATTCTTCATTAAAATTGTCAAAGTGAAAAGAGAGGAGAAATGGTTGAGATGGTTTTTAATGGATGAGTTATGGGAGCGCAGTTCTCAGTAAGGATGTTTACTGCTGGAAAGTTTTACACCTATGGATGTTGAGCCTTGTTGTGGGGTTGAGATTGGGTCTTGTCCTAGTATAACTTTTAAGACTAGTCATAGCTATGATGAAAATTCGATTATTGGGCTATTATAAAGTCCTTTAGATCCTCGAAATTAGGACAAATTCAATTATACGGTGTGGAAACCAATCAAGATTTGGTAATCCGTCCAATACATGATAATTGCAATGAGAGGGTCTAAGATGGTTCAGATGCCTCTCTCCAGGCAAAGGAACGGAACTGATAAATTAGGGTTCGTTCACTTATGACGTCCATCAAAAAACCTGATTTTTAAACCCCCCCCCCCCCCCCCCTCTGTCACAAAAATTCTATAGAAAAAATTTCCATTGTTCGAACTGTCACAAAATCCTAGAACCCCACCCCCCCTAAATGTCGGAGGTCATAAGTGAACAGCATTTACGTTTTGATAATTTTTGGTCATTTTTTGATCATCCGCTTTTTGTGATCTTAAAAAAATGTGGTCCCGTTTTAAGGAGTTGGTTCCCTCCATCAAATAATTTATATCTACACCCTTGGTTTAATCATATTTCGAATATTTCAATGGCACAGAAATTCAGCTCTTTAAGTCATAATTGGACCCGATTGTTCGTTACCCTTCCTTAACATTTAAAATTGCACCCACACCAACCAAAAAAATTAAAAACTTCCTTCATCAAAAAATCCCGCTAATAATTCCAAAAGAGTAAAAAAGTTCCTCATTTTTAATGCACAAACATATATGCTGGAGCTTTGATGCGAAAAGTTTTTCTTTGTAATAAAAATGTGAGGTGGTTTTTCAGTTATTTTTCGACATTCGCACATGTAAAACGTGTGTGGGTGGAAATAGTTTGAGTTTCTTTTTAATTCTATGAAAATTATACTTTTTCATCTTACATAACATGCATAATGACTTACTCTTTTACATGTAAAAATGTGATTTATGCAACAGTTACATTAAGCAGGAGTAGCAACGATAATAAAAATCATAATATTCATGTTGTAACACCAAACCAACATTCGCATATTCACAAAAGTCAAGCATCAAGGAGCTGAAAAAGAGAAAAATTAAAAAATTTAAATTGAAATTTGCTGTCGTGTTTGGAAATAAATTGCTATGCATGTTATTATAGCGCCTGCTATCGCTGAGTAGCAAATCTTACACTTTTTTTCAACGCGTTAACCACCATACGTGGAACTTTACATTCTTTCACTATCAACACCGTGTTTATGCTCATATCTTTATGCTCAACCAATTGTTTTAAATTTCTCGAGTAACACACACGCAAAAAGTTTCGCGTTGGCAACAAAAACCAATTTTATTTCGAGAATAAATTTTTGTAGACATTTTTGCAACTGAATCGAATGGAATTTTATGATAAGAGAGAAAATTTTGCTAGTCAGGAATTCAAACTGATTATATGCCTTAAAAAATCCCACTTTAATGACTTAAGCACATTCACTGTTAAGCAATACTGACTAATGTCAGTATCACACTGACTAGTATCACACTGACTAGTGTCATTCTGGCTAGTATCTCACTGACTAGTGTCATATTTACTATTGTCACACTGACTAGTGTCATATTTACTAGTGTCACACTGACTAGTGTCACACTGACTAGTGTCACACTGACTAGTGTCACACTGACTAGTGTCACACTGACTAGTGCCACACTGACTTGTGTCACACTGACTTGTGTCACACTGACTTGTGTCACACTGACCAGTGTCAATCCAACTAGTATCACATTGACTAGTGACATATTTATTATCAAACTGGCAAGTGTCCTCCGGAGCAAAGTATAAGAAATTTTTTGATAGAGCACCAAAGCATGTTACATGTTACGTAACATAAAAATTCAAAGATAAAAAGATATACAGCGATGATAAGCGCACGATGGAGAGAAAAATATAATTAAACTGATGATATCATGATTTATGAGAGATTTTTTTTCTCCTCTCGATTTTTTCGTGCATGCCTTTATGTCCTCTGCTGCCTACTTGATACACAAATGTTTCATAAAAATTAAGAGGCGACGAAAAAAATGTAAAGCAGAAAGGTTGAGTAAATTTTGGGTTTTATAATTATTTGAGGGTGAGTTTGTTGTGTCTGTTTGAGGTCATTTAACCTTGAATGATTTTAGGAAGTGGTGCTTATTATTAAATTTGATTAAAGTGGTTAAGGTCGACTTGGATTTTATTTCACGCTTTAATTTCCTGAGCACTTTCTTTGATAGAACATTGTAGTGCCTTGTAGCTTCAACTAGAAAAATAATAAACCTAGAGTCTGTAACATTAAGTCACTCTAATCAAAAAGTTCTAATAAATAAAGTCACAAAAAATGTTTCTATTCTCAAGCCCTGCTAGAATTCGCAAACCCAAACTCATACACATTCCTAACGTAATTTCATTCCTAGTATCACATAATAATAATGCCGTATGAGCGAGAGAAACAGGCACAATATGATGTGATAACCATCTTTATTGTTTCCTCTTTCCTGTCACGTCTGCATCGTCATCGTCGGATGGCAGCAGTGTTAAAGATAGGCAAGAGAAAAATGTAGAAAATTAAGTGAAAAAAGGAAGTCTCTTTGAGAATGGCGGGCAGATAAATGTACAATGTTTCTTGCTAAGTTTGAAATTTTAAAAATTTCCCTTCGGAATTTTCATTTATTTGATCTCGACATGCAATTTTCACTCCAGTGGCTAACAGGAAAAAGGAAAGAAGGAAGTCGAAAAAAGAAAATGGCATAAAATTTAAAGTTGAGTCCATCATAAACATTCTTGAGATCCCCTGATGCGTGCACGATGCGATGCCATCTCATTAAAAGTAAATGAAGATTTTTTTTTCTTCATCTTCTCATTTTTATTTTTATTTTTGTCGTGTCGTCGCTTGATGATGATATTTTTTTGTCATACAACAAAAAAAAAATGATAATAAGAACACTCGACATGATAATGCTTTTTTTTCTTGCAAATGAAGATGCCTTCGTGAACCTTAATGATTTTTGCAATTAGATCTTGAAGTCAACTGAAAATCGTAATCAGTAGCGGTATGATTTTGTACATTGAACCCGATTAATATATATTAGCATGTCTGCCAAATGGATGGTCTACTTTGAACGAATTGGCAGTCACTAGACTAGTGTTGTTCAAACTATTTGCCTCGGCACACTAAAGTGCCGTATATTTTTTTTTGCATGCTGTGTGCGATTTTAGTAATGGCTTACCCCTAAGGTGTGCCGTGGCTCAAAAAAGTTTGGAAAATGCTGCACAAGACAGATAATATTTAAAACTGACTGTCAAGTGCAGCTGCTAGGCTTAAACTATCCTATCCACAGCGTATCTGCTTGGCTGATGTGCCCACAACATTTTAATGTGCACCGACCGGGATAACAGTGTACAAAAAAATTTTCAAACGTAATTTATCATCAATTTTTATGATGTTTCGGAATAAAAATAGAAATAAATTGAAGGAGAATAAAGAGCATTGAATGATATCAAGCACAGAAGACGAATATTCATGCTGGATATCCAAAGTAATTTCATTATCTCATATTCCATTGAGACTCTTTCATTTCATTCATTTATTTTCAATCCAGGAAAAGTATAGGATAGAATGTTGGTGAGTTGGATGGTTTGGGCGCATTTTATAGTGCAGCTATAACTGCTGGGTGCATTTAAATATATAGTAATCGTTAATTAATTAATTAATTAAAGTTTAAAACATGACAGATTTC